AAAAAAAAGAAAAATCTGCTATAGGCAGAGAAATCTACCATGGGCAAGGGAAAGAAGAGAAGCAGCACAGGTGTCCTCTTTTGCTCAGGAGTAGGCTAAAGCATCATGTCTAATGCCTTTCCCAAGCACGTGGCCAGTAGAGCCATGAGACCTGGCCAGGTGAAGGATAAAGGTCCTCAGGATCGCAGCGGAGGGGGATTGTGATCGATTAGCAGTGTGTGCCTGAGGCAGGAAGAATAGAGGGGTGGTGGCATACATCATGAACTCCTGACAGTGTCTGCCATGAGCAAGAAAAGGAAGAGAGTCGGCCTGTTTGCTATATGATTAATTAGCAAAGTTTGCCGTGGGCAGGGGAGAAGAGAGAGCAGCCGGGTGTCATGCCTTTGCCCAAAGGAAAAACTCCCAGAATTTGGTCAGTGGAGCCTTGAGGTCTGGCCAGGTAAGAGGTAAGGTGAACAAAGAACTTAGTGAGAGAAAATGGCCTTGTATTCTGTTGTTGTCTGCCATGGGCCAGGGAAAGGAGAGAGGTGGCAGGGTACCATGTTTTTGCTCAAGAGAGACAGGCAGACGGTCTACTTGCCCTCCTAGCAGTCTGGGAAGCCATGCGCTCTGGCCCAGTCTCTTGCTTCCATATGTCAAATGTGGGACTTCTGTCCCTTATGGCTTGGGGATTGGTGTGGGAGGGTGTTGATTTGTATCCACTGTTGAGCAGATGCCAGCGCACATTGAGAATGACGCACACTTGCTCCGTGTCCTGCAGCATTCCCAGACTGTCACACACCCTCACATATGCTGTCCTCGCACAGCCTGACATTAAACACCACCCAGGTCCCTCACACGGGTGCCCTGAGGAGCGGCAGGCTCCCGGGCTCTGTCCAGGAGCCTCACACTCCTGCAGCCAGCTGCACACTCACTTGAACTTGCCCCATAGAAATTTCAGACACCAATGTCACACTCTCTCACACATGTCACACACACTTTGAGGTCACAGACTTAGAGTTACGTATGTGCAGAAATCTCACATGCTCAGAAGTCACACACCCAGATTGACACAAACTACACATCCAGATCCACACAAATTTGGTAGCTATCATGTAGATTTGTGCAAACACTCTCCCTCTCTCTCTCTCTCACACACACACACACACACATACACACACACACACCCCTCTCCATCACACAAGCGTAATCATTCACATTCACACTTGGGAATGGCACGTCAGAATGCCTCACACTTGAACTTCAGTCCCACTGAGAGGCTCTACCCTCAGGCGCCCCATGCCTGTTTCCACAAACACACAGTCTTCATGGACATTGACCTGGAAACCACACGGCCCCCACCTGGGACTTCTATGTCACACATGCTGACTCCCACAGTCACTTCTTTCTGATGCTTCCTAGAGCATCCCACATGCCCCCCCTGGAGATAGTCACTTACTAAAATGTCACAGATGCTTGTCACACATCACACATGGCAGCTCTTTGCTTATTTGGATGGTACCTGCTTTCCTCCCAAGCCCTCACAAGGCCACCATGCCTGCTCCACGCCTCCTGTCTTGCTGACATAGGTGCACCACTGCCCTCATGACATATGTGATAGGCCAGCTTCTTGGGTGGCGGGGGAGTCGCATCTTTACCCAAGTAGGATGTGTGATTCCCAGCCGATGAACAGCGTGTGGCCCGCCTTCATGCTGACCAGCCCATGCTCTTGCCATATAGGCAGTGAAACTCGTTTTCTAAATTAATATGTCTTTAAACATTTTATGTATTTCATGGGAGGAAGGCACACTGGGGATCGGACCCAGGGGCATTCTGCCAGGAGCTGCATCCCCAGACCTTTTTATTTTTTTAATTTAGAGACAGGGTCTCACTGAGTTGCTAGGGCTGGCCACAAACTTGTGAGTAGCTGGCATTACAGGTGTTTTACTGTGCCCAGCTTGTTAAACATTTTAAACATCACTTGTGGTTTGTGGCCACTCATATAGCTCTTGGATCCTTGGTTTGGGGTCTCTGCCACTGCCAGTCATCAGATGTCACATACTGACCTGTCTGTTGACCACTCAGATGTTTCTCTCTCACCCTCACAGTTATTTTAGTGGCCATAGCCATCTAGTGACTATAGAGTGGCCCTGGTGCAGGGAAAGGGCAGGGCTGCAGCAGTGCCCAGGGCTGTTTGTTGACCTCTGCCCTTCCTGACTTCCTAGTACCTGAGATGGAGCCTCCTGGTGCCAGTGACAGCGATGGCATCAATGCTCTGTGTACACAGATCAGCTCATCTTTCGCCAGTGCTGGAACAGCAGCATCAGGGCCCCCATCTGCCACAACAGGTAAGTCCTTTGGTGTCTTCCATCAGGACAGATCCCCTAAAGTGCCCTCCTGCATTCCTCTTCTCTGTTCAGGGCTACCTTGGAAACCCCAGGGATCTTGAATGGTCAAGTATTGGAATCAGCTCAGAGCCATGGGATCAGCTCAGAGCCAAGGATCAGCTCAGAGCCATGGGATCAGCTCAGAGCCATGGATCAACCTAGAACCATGGGATCAGCTCAGAGCTATGGGTCAACCTGGAGCCATGAGATCAGCTCAGAGCCGTGGATCAGCTTAGAGCCATGGATTGGCTTAGATCTGTGGATCAGCTTAGTCCTCTAGGATTGTCTTAGAGCCATGGGTGCCAGTGACACTGACACTCAAATGCGTGGGCTCCTCCTTGAAGCAGGCGAGAACCTCAGGATCTCGAATAGTGTAACTGTAGACCTCTAGACCCTTAGAAAACATGAACTTAAAACAATCGAATCTTCTGTGTTGGAACAGTAAACTCTGAGAAAGATCCATGCAACCTTGGAATCTTAGCCTCATGGTATATATTACATTCTCTTGATTGGAATCCAAGGTGATGCTCAGAGTTACTACCAGGTATGGATGGCGCTGACCAGTGAGAAGAGCAGTGGAGCTGGGTGAGCATGGGGCCACAGAGCCTCAGAATTATGTAGAAACGGACCTGTTATGTGGTCCAGAGTGGTTAAGTCACTTTCCCAATGTCAGCACAGCCAGTAAGGAGCTGAGCTGGCACTCGAAGGCAGACACCTGGCTCTGGGACCTGTGCTCTCATCCCAGGCCATCCCTGTTCCCAGCCTGCGATTCTTCCACTGCAGCCTTTGTCCCTCATCTGCTCCTCTCCTCTCTCTAGGGACTTCTGCCTGGGGTGAGCCCTCTGTGCCCCCTGCGGCTACCTTCCAGCCTGGGCACAAGCGGACCCCTTCGGAGGCTGAGCGATGGCTGGAGGAGGTGTCCCAGGTGGCCAAGGCCCAGCAGCAACAGCAGCAGCAGCAGCAGCAGCAGCAAGCGGCCTCAGTGCCCCCAGTGTCCACCATCCCCCCAGCCCTGCAGCCCTTCCCTGCCCCTATGGGGCCCTTTGACACAGCACCTGCCCAGGTGGCCGTGTTTTTGCCACCCCCACACATGCAGCCCCCATTCATACCTGCCTACCCAGGCCTGGGCTACCCGCCCATGCCCCGGGTGCCTGTGGTGGGCATCACACCCTCGCAGATGGTGGCCAACGCCTTCTGCTCAGCTGCCCAGCCCCAGCCTGCCACCCTGCTTGGGAAAGCTGGGGTCTTCCCACCCCCTGCCGCACCCAGTGCCCCTGGGGGCCAGGCCCGTCCACGCCCCAATGGGGCCTCCTGGCCCCCAGAGCCTGCACCGGCCCCTGCCCCTGAGTTGGACCCATTTGAGGCCCAGTGGGCAGCATTAGAAGGCAAATCCACTGTGGAGAAGCCCTCCAATCCCTTCTCCGGAGACCTGCAGAAGACCTTCGAGATTGAACTGTAGCTCAAGCTGCCCTGCCAACCCCGTCACCCTGTCACCCCCAGGTGCACCACACCTGGGAATGGAGGCACAACCTCTCCCGTAGTCCTGCTCCTTGGGGCTGCGCCCCTCAATTCCCCCTCAGTCCTCTCTGCCACTCCCAAACCTCTACAGAACCAATATTGTGAAGCCCAGGTTGTGACAGGACGGAATTCAGGGACGGACCCAGCCTGGCTAAGGGAGCCATGTCACTGCCAGATGTAGGCTGGCAATGCACCCTCTCCTGCCCCAGACACAGGGGGACGGCCTCAGTCCCAAGGATGTCCATGGTTCAAGTTCTACTCCCCAGTTTCTGTTGCTGACCTTTCACCTTCTAGTGTTGGGCAGGATGAAGGAGGGATGCCCTGGTAGGGGCTCTCCTGGGCCCCACAAGAGTGCCCACCCCAAATCTGGTCATCTCCTCCCCCACACACAGCACAAGTAAGGGCTTCCCTCTGCCCTCGCTGCGTTCACTGCCAATGCTGTGCTCACCCCCACTCGGGGCCCACATCTGTCTTCCAGGGGGCCAAGGTCTCATGGGGGCAAGGCCAAGCTGGGGGCCCAGAGGTGGGGGAGGGGGGAGGGAAGATGCTTAGTTACCTCATGTTGGTACCCGCTGGGGTGGGGTCCTGGAAGAATGGGAAGGGGTGCCTGGCGGGTACTTTTCTATCTTTTATTTCCAGATTTTTTTTGTATCTAAACTTGCAGATTTGTATTATACAAGGACAGCCAATAAAGGAAGAATATAATGGTGCCCCTCGGGAAGGCAGGGTGTGTGTGTGTAGGGGAATGATGTGGCCACAGAGCCTTTCCTCCTGAGTCATCGTCTAAAGCAGGAGGGAGGAAAAGGGTCTCCCTGAGCAATAGCCTCTGAGTCATAAGTAGGGATCAGGTACCGCTGACG